TATACCACAACAGAACTTAATCGACATGAATGAAAATCGTCTTTCAAGATTTCAAAGAGTGCAACAGTTATTACAGCACTTGTGGACACGATAGTCCTTCATATCCCACCTTTAGCAGCGGTTCAAGTGGAAGGAGAATTACCAGCAGCTGATCAAGCCTGAACGGATGGTTCTGGTTAAGGATGATGGACTTCCTTCCTTAAAGTGGTAGTTATGAATTTTGAAAACTTATACCGGAAGTGACAATATTGTGCGGTCGGTTATGATAAAAACAAACATTGGTGACATTAAACGACCGGTTGTGAAAATTTGTGTTCTACCAAACCAAGATCAATAAATTCTTTATAAGTATAAGTACTATGATCTTAGACACTTTATTTAAAAAACACTTTTTTATCTAATTTTGAAACCCGGTCTTTGGGGTTTCAAGGTGAGGGAGTATATGTTAAGTACGGACCTGCTCGCGCACATCACAGTTTAAACCCGAATAATTTATTGTGCGCCTGCGTCACGATCTACCCAGATCGAATCGAACGTGCTCCATCTGGAGAGGGTGGATTACGCCGAGATGTCAAGAGAGAATGACGATAACCCCGCTTAGATGAAGATATTTTTAAATTATATATTGAGTTAGTATTATATAGTAGTTTGTTTATAGTGTTTAATTATTAAATTGATACTTGAAATTCTCAAAATCTTTCACACGCGCTCTTCCAGACGTAGCACTTCACGTGCTACGTGACGCATACTTCAAGTGTGGTCAATGACTTCTGCCGCACAGTACCGAACATCAGTTAATTTTTCATAAATTTTTTATTCTGATCGAAATTTCCTGGTGACTTTCAACCTTTCAGTCAATCAGACCCAGATTAAATAATGTGTTTAACCCTTTCCAGAAGTTTGTTATCTACTTTTAGTATCGAGTCTTCGATATTAATTTTTCCGAACCATGTTTTCTTTGCGTTGATTGTCCCTGAAGCCCTTTTCAGTACGTCCGTTATTTACAGCGTTTAACCGGGTTTGAAGATCTACTCCTTCTTTCATTTACGGTGTCATGTGTGTATCTGATGTTTTTAATAATTTCACCACCGATTTTAACACATTCCTTTCTAACACCACGCTTAATAGAAACTTTAGCTGAAACCTTTTTGCACCTTAATACAACGGTGTGATTGTAGTAAATATTTTTGAGCAATATAATGTCATACGTGTCTAGATCAACAGGGTCCAATCATTGAAATAGAAGTGCATGTCTTATCAAAGGCTTTTTCGGAATCTTTCATAAATATTTATGAAAGATTTCGAATTTTAAACATACGTAAATATTTTTCCTAAACTCATTGCTCTTTTGTAAAAGTAGCGGCATGCAAAAAGAACCGTTTCGGAAACCAAACTGATTATCAACAGTTATTCCCTCACAACATTTATATATTCAACACTTTCATAAAAATTGTGATCGTGTGACTCATTAAACTGATAAGCTGTAACCTCAGAAACCTTTTTGGATGGTGCTAGAAAGGTCACCAATAGGGACACTGCGGACGCTAGCCAGATGGTTGATGAAATAAATAAAAATATGACAGGATAAGATATATTAGAAAAGGTACAGGAATAAACAAAAAAGATAGATGGGTAAAATTACCAAAGTTGAGATAAGATAGAAAAAGAGCGCCACTTAATTTCTTGGGAATTAAGGAGAAAATTAAGAAGCCATAGAAACGAAAAGAGATAAGGAAAGATATTTAGGTTCTGAGAACAAATCAAGGAAAGATATTAACATTTAATTATTAAGTAAATTTGGTCAACACACTACCTATACAAATAATAAATATATTAGGTGAACTCCGTCCATCTACTTACCTACGAAACTTAACAGCCTTGATTTTTCTCCTGGTCGAAGGTATAATAATAATTTAAGGTAAAAAGCAAATATTCAGAGGTATTGTTTCATCAGGAAACTTGTTAGGAGCCGAGAAATAAAATTCATTGATAAAAACAAAGCAATATATTCAACACCACAATGGTATTGGCGCTGAATGTACAAACAAGTAATAAAAATACACCATCAATTAGATACATATATAAACAGTATTATGATTAATAAATACCTTTACAAATACAATATAATAAAGTCATGCACAAATAAAGTTACCAGCGAAGAGAGCCTGATGCTATTTAAAAATATTCAACTGAAGTTAATTAAAGAAGTTTCTCTTTGCTGTTTATGGGCTTATCTCGAGATAACGGGGTAAAAATGTATACAATGATAGCAAATAACAAAATTGATTAAACTTAAATTCACAAAAATATAAAGGGGTTACAAGAATGCTGTATTATAAAATTAAACCAACCCGCACTTAGTTTTAAGTTAATTATCACTTCGCACTGTTGTTTAACGATTGACTGTTCTTACTGAGAATTAAATGTTCGTAATTTTTATTTATTAGAAGTTCGAAAGTGTTTTAAAAAATTGAAAGTTTGTATGAAAATATTACATGTTCCTTGATTGAATGCTAACTCAGTAGTTAACCTTAACTACAGGAGAAGAAATAGTCTACGTAGATTTGCCCAGATAGTTGAAGATAATATGATATTATTGCCCAGATAATTGAAGGTAATTGATTACGATAACTCTCTATGACTGCTGCACTACATTGAAGCTAATATAATATTTTACTTGTATTAAGCACTGAAGCTAATTAAATTAAAGGCAGTTTATACCAATATTTAATCTAATATGATATTAGATTAAAAAACTCCACTAATAAACTGTATACACACTTAAAGAAAAAATTCACAGAGACGGTAAGGTAACAAGCGTCTTTCCTTAAAGACGATCCTACCGGAAGTGATTTCTCCTCTCAAAATTTACGAAACTACCCAAAAATAAGGTGACATATCCCCCACTTAAAATGACAGGCCAGACTGTATCTATTTCTGGCTTAGCTAAAAGGATTAGCTTAGCCTTACAATAAAGTATTTTATTACGGTGTCTTTAATAAGTCGGTTCTTCCGTATTTTGAGATATCGGTAAATTCCAATGAAATTTGCCGGTGGTAAACACTACCACCCGCGTATATATTTGCAAATACTGCCATGGACGTCTCAGCAACAGGGGTCAAGGGAATAAAAATTAACTTGATAAACTTAATATTTTAATTATAAAAAAAATGTTACAAAGTCGATAGTAGCTATATTGTCTGGCATTCCTTTTCTTGTGAATAGTTGTAAATATTGATTCTAGCTGCTAGATACAACTTTTCATAGTTTTTCATTAAAGTAGTTGTATAAAAATATGAAATTTCATTTAATGTGTTTAATACGTTTATTCTTCATTTGTTATTTTGTAAGTAATTTAGTAAGATTTTTGCATTTATGCTTCTTCTTCTTTAAGTTCCATCTTCTATCGAAGGTTGGAAGTCATCATGGCTATGCGGACTCTGTTGACTGCCGCTCTAAAAAGTTCTGCACTACTGCATTCAAACCATTCCCTTAAGTTCTTAAGCCAGGATATTCTTCGTCTTCCCACATTTCGCTTTCCTCGGATTTTGCCCTGCATAATAAGTTGTAATAATGCGTATTTTTGCTCTCTCATCACATGTCCCAAGTACTCAAGTTTTCGTCTTTTAATAGTTAATATTATTTCCGCCTCATTTCCTATCCTTCTAGTTACTTCCATGTTTGACATTCTTTGAATCCATGATATTCGTAGGATTCTTCTGTAACAAAAAAATTCAAAGGCGGCCAGCTTATTCAGATGAACTTGTTTGAGTGTCCAAGCTTCCATACCATAAAGAATAGTAGAGAACACGTAACATCGAAGCATTCTCAGGCGTAGTTCTAACCTTATATCCCGACAACAAAGAAACTTTTTAAGTTTAATAAATGATGTACGTGCTATTTCAATACGTGTCTTAATTTCTTTGGTTTGGTCTACATCTGATGTTATCCATGTTCCTAAATATTTATAGTTATTAACATTGTCAATTGCAGTATCTTCAATAGTCAATTGGATATTTGCATGTGCAGATTTAGTCATGATCATGCATTTAGTTTTCTTTAAATTTATCTTCAGTCCGTATTCATGACAGCGTTCATTAAGGCGTTGCATTAGGTTCTGTAAATCATTGTTGTTATCCGTAATTATTACTGTATCGTCTGCAAAACATAAGTTATTCAAAACTTCTCCATTGATAGATATACCTTCTATTGAGTCTGAGAGCGCTTCTTGAAATACCGCTTCACTGTAGACATTGAAAAGTAGTGGGGACAGCACGCAACCCTGGCGGACTCTTCTCTGTATTTTGATATTTTCGGTGTACTGGCTGTCAAGTCTTACCTTGGCAGTTTGATTCCAATATAAATTAGATATAATTTTCAGATCACGACTGTCAATATTTTTGCTTTTTAATATATCTACAAGCTTTTTATGTTGAACTTCTAGCATTTATGCTACCCTATACCAATTTGAAGCAATGTGTTATGGAATCAGCTAAGAAAGGGAAAAAAATGTAGGATCCATTAAAAAAAAAGTAAATTAAAATCAAAAATCGACCTGTTTCAGGAATTTCCGATAAGGTTCCTATACCAATTTATTATTATTATTCCAACGTGTTGTAGATTTTAGTGTATACATTTTTGGAATAAGGCCAGCTCACTATAAATTGGAAAAAAATAGGGATTCCATTTACAAAAATCGTGATAGCATACGAAGGTGTTTCACCCCGTATATTGAATTATAATTTGAAAAAATAGTAAATTAAAATCAAAAATCGACCTTCTTAATGGTAATTACGTAATAATGAACGATGATAATGTATTATGCGTTACTTTATGAACGCACTGTATATTAGCCTGAAGTCATGATTTACCAAATTTGTTATCTTATCTGCGCCTATACGTAATCGGGGTGTTAATACTTTTTCTATTATGTCCTAATACTTTATTGGGATTTATGTTATTAATTGAAATTATAAATAATATTATACTTTCTATTTCAGGTTTTACTACAAATATCGATATTATCCGTGTAGATCTGCCATAAATTTCCAACCTAATCCGCTGTACATACATTCGTACGGATCTGTTATTTCTCAGTTACTTGTTGAACGACAGAAATTGTTAGTTGATCCAGGAGCGAGAACTAGCATATTGCTACCAACTTCGCTCATGGCAGAACATGCACTTATTCCCTGTGAGATTCTAGTCCCACAAATGCAAACTATTGTTGCAATTTGTCAGATGGCCCTTAAAACTCGTAGAACAAGGAATAGAGTTAAAAGAGAAAATAACTCAGTAGATTCGCTATTGTTGTTTTCACCACCTAGTACAAACCTCGAAAGAAGCAGTTCGCCTATTAAAACAGCTACGTATGGCGTTTTTCAGTCTGCATCTGTAACTCGAAAATCAATACGTACAGTGAAATTGGAAGATAGTCCAACAGCATCTTCATTGTTGTCTGTTTCAAAAGAACATTTAACACACGAAACATACAGAACTTCGTCGACTAATTTAATTAACCCAGACTTATTATCAAAATCAACGTTTAAAAGTGAAATTCAGTGTAGTGACACACTAACACTACCAACTATGGTTATAAAGGATGAAATTAACCCCTATTTTGAACAAAATTGTGGCACAGATCAACATATCGTGGCGTCAAACGAATCAGCTACTAATAGACAATGGTATAGAGATCGTAGTAAAAATACAAATAATACAATCAAACGAGTACGGAAATCAGTGACTGAGAAACAGAACCGTCAAAAAAATAACCTAACTATTCCAGCACTTTGTTACCAAACGGAACCCTCTACTTCAAATTCAAATTTTTCCTCTTTAGCAACAGTAGATCTAACAAAAACGGAAGACCCTGTCTACTCGAGATCTGGAGTGGATTATGCTAATGGTGTTACGACCAACCAACCGTTAAAGAAAATAAAGGAATTTGATGACGATTGCTTCATTATCGCTGTTTCTGATGCGATTGAACCTATGAGAGCTAATAGTCGTTTGGAGCTTATTCAAGATTTTATTGATGAAGAATACGCCAAAGAGGAGGATAAATAAAAAATAAAATGTTTCACAAAAATACTTTTATTAATATGTTTGTAAAAAGCTTTTAATTACTGTAATTTATCTTATGCAGATTACAGAGCAAGTGGTTAAATCGAAAGAGAAATTTGAATGACAAAATAGCATTCGTATATATTAGAAAATAGCATTATAACATTTATAACGTATAACATAGAATTTATAACATGTAGCATTCGTATATGTCATAAAACGGCGTTAGATGTAATACAATTAAAGAGACTGAGAGGCATATGCTAATAGTAGGTAATATACAAGTTAATGTTCCGTTTTTTTTTTTTTAAATATACAGCATCCAGTAAAATCAGTTTAATAAGGGTACTTTTTTTATTTTACTTATTTTGAGTATGTCTATACTTCAAAATAAAAAATGAAATAAGTCATACGCTTGATCAGTAAGTTTATCGTATCATTTAGCTGTCGCTATTACTTTTAGCGGGAAGCGTGTCAGTAGCGGAGAATTTATTTTTTATTTACCGTATAGCATAAAACGAACATATAATATATCAATATAATCTAAAACATTTTCGGTCGCATTCAGGAATTCCATGTTACGTTTTTCTTGCTGTTATTTCCTTATTTCTTCATATTTTAAGTTTGAATTCTTATCTGCTTTTGTTCTGTTTCTGGTAAAACTTTCTTGTCTGTGTTGGCTTCGTGAAGTTCTTTGTTCATAAATTCTCTCTTCTTTGTCCGGTTTGCATTTTGCTCATCTCCTGGTATGGACGTTTAGTTTATTCGATTGGTATCTTCAGTCTACAATAAGATGATTTATCATATTTACTAAAAGTCCGTCTGGTGATTTACAGATGCCTTTGTGTATATCTTTTCGAGCAGATTTAAAATTATACAATCATTTAAAAAAAAACTTTTATGAAAAAAAGGAAGACATTTTTGAAAGCATAAAAATATTTATACAATTCGTTATTTCTTAAACAAATATTTTCATTCTCTTGGAATCTGCTATCATTTCTGTTCCATACCATATGCAAATTAAAAGTTTACTTTGTATTCCAAATTGGCTGAATTTTCAGTTTTTATTGACGCTTTTAAAATGAAAGTATTTGCTTCGTTGTTGTACAAATCATTAGCTGCTGACTCAGCTTTTAATTCATCTTTTGTGTGTTTATTTTGCTCTGTAAATACATTTTGACACTAATTAATTCCGCTACTTAATATGCTAACTTGGTTTTTTACACTTACGGGAATTAATTTTTCTCAGAAATAAACTACGAATCCTAATACTAATTTTAGTATGTTACACCATAGGTATCAACTCCCGCTCATCCGTCCAGTTGACACATTATTAATATTAATGAAAACTTAGTGACCAGCAAGGAAACACATTTTCTTATGCTCCGCTAATGATTAAATTTTAAATTTCCGAGAATTTATTATTGACACGTGATTTCGGCTAATTTTGACCACTTACGATGCGTGATTTTGAATTTCCAGTTTCATTTTTTATTTGCTAGACTGTATTAATCTAATATGCTGGTACATTTTTATAGAGATAATCATAAATATATGTTTAAAGCTCTCATTTTGTAATGGACATTTCTGTTTTTGTTAAATTAAATTTAATATATCCTGTTAAACTGCGGTTTTATAATTTGCCCAGAAATAAATACAGCTAGTAGATACAGACCACTTTAAATTATTTTTGTTCTACTAAACTTACATGCTTTTAGAAAGCATATATTACATATAATAATTTTTAATAAAAACTGCAACCGCAAGATAAAAGTACTATTTTGAACATTTTAGGAGTAACCCATTTGTTCTATTGTGTTTATGACTCCTCTAAAATGTAGGATCAGAGTTTTCCTTGTCACTCAAAGAAAAATAAAGGGGACCTTTTCTCCTTTTGAATTAGTTCTATTTTGTTTATCTAATTTTCTTTCAGTTACTATTCTAGTTCAGTTTTACTTACTTTCTGACTTAAGTATTTCAGAGATTTGTAGACCCACTTTCCAAAGCTCGCCGTTGTATCCTTCAAAACACGTGAGAGCCGTAGTACAGTGAATGTCTGTATACCTGGAATTCTTCGTCTAACTTAAATTCAAAGTCAAAACCTTTTTCTTGGGATAATTTTTAGCTCCTCCAAAGTAACACCCAACGTCTGGTAATTGATTGTTCCTATCCAAGTTATATATTTATAGATATTATAGATATAGATATTAGTTTTTTAAATCTCTTCTTTTTGTATATTTTATGGTTAGATGTTGTATTGACTTTACAGTTTGTGACATTGTTTATGTGACAATTTCATCCCGAATTGTTACTTACCGATGTTGTCCCTAAATTATTATCAAACCTTCAACAATCTAGCTAATTGATCATTCTCTTTGTTTACTCTTATTATATTAAAAAAAGATCATTATATTATAAGATTAAGTATTAAGCTTAATTAATTAAAGAATATTTGACTGTTCAACTGATGTATTTTTGGGATGTGTAACATCCAACATCACGAATATTTTATTATTGACTGCGGACTGTAATGATCTTCTCCTTCCTTAGGAAATACAAGTTTGTTTATGTATCTGTTTATATACTCAATATATAGCTGTTTATATAATCGAGTGTGGCTTGTATGCCATACATTCGTGTACTTTCTTCTTTTCAAAATTTCTTATTAACCTTTTGGCTTTATTGGATATCTTTTCCTGGGTGTCGAATCCGGGAAAAAATTTTATAGAACTTATGGCAATCCTGTTTTTCTTTGCTTTATACGGAATTTTAGTGGTTGTAAATTCAATAATTATTTCTTCAACTTTCACTGTCAATTTTAGTATTATATAATGCTAACTTTGTTATCTGCAGAGTGGATAAACATACTGGAACTTACTAAATCATCTTGTTGGTCACCTTCCTTTTTTGAGCTGCAGATTCACCCAGTTATTCCTTATATATCCGCATAAATTGCAGTCAATGGGTATAGTAAATCCCAAAACTTACTGAAATTTACCAAAAGACTTTTATTTTACTCTCCGATCTAGAAAAAACTACCAAAAAAATGCACGAACTGAAATTTTCTTAATGTGCTATTTTTTTTTTAAATGTACAGTGGTCAGGAAATTGTTATAACGATGTAATAGGGGTACCTTTTATGTTTATTGTTTTTTTGTATGTCGAGTAATTTAAAAATTAATTCCGAATTTTTCTTATTAGTTTTCTTCGAAAGCAACTTGTATTATTAAGTTTTTTGTAACCAAATATGGTCGAACCAGGTGATCGAGAGAAATAAGATTTAAATTTGTATAAAGAAATTTATTTCATTTTATATAGATATCAAAGGTTATTTTGTAATTCACATTTCTGTTTTTGTCATATACAATTTGATATGTACAGTTAAACTGGAATTTTTATGATTAAGTCAGTAATAAATACAGCTAAAAGATACTTTGTATTATTTTTTCTCTACTAAACTTACCTTGGCTTAGATAGCAAATAAATTCTAATAATTTTTAAAAACAACCGCATAGAACATGCTGAACAATGGGCATACAAGAGAATATATTACATTCTCTACTTTTCGCAGATGCAAGTCATTATATCGAATCGGAAATGAAATAGTTCCACTATTTATGAAAACCATGTCAATGCAAACGGAGAATCCAAGAGTAATCTCTGTGCTTTTAACGAACTGAAAATTAATTATGATCAATAAATAATTAATTTATCAATAATACGGTTTTTGACCATACGCTCCAGTATAAATATACATTTGTTATGTCGAGCACGCCACTGTGTGTGTGTGTTGTATGTCAATATTCCAGATTCCTTCGGAGATGATAAAGACCCACGCCAGAATCTCTAAGTGTTTACGTTATTATCAGGAACTAAGAGAGGTTTTTTTGATATATTTTGTAGTCCTTAAGTTAGTATAGTTTTATACCCTAAACTGTAAACATCTTAATAAATTTGTGCATTTCCTTCAGAGTTTTTCGTTACTTAATTCTCTATCGAACACATATCATTTTATAAAGAATAAAAGTAGCGCAGTCAGTAGAATTTCCAATTAGAACAAGTAAAGCCTTTTTTTAATCGTTAATTGGAAAATTGGAGAATTAGTGACTTAGTATTTGAGTTCCGAGTGTAAGGCCACGAGGAAGGAAAACTGAAGGAACCCGTAAGCAACTTAGAAGAATTCCAAGTGTAAGGCCACTTGTTGTGTAAAGCCACAAAGTAATTCGGAAGTTCTGGGGAGGCGCAACTAGCAACTTCGTGAAATCTTTTCAACCAGCTTCAGTGAAAAGCCACTCGACCCTGGAAACGGTGAAGCATTTTCACAGAAGAAGCAACAACATCTCGGCTACTAAAGCCACCTCGGTGTAAAGCCGCGTTTTCACGGAAGTACTTGAGGTTAGTCGAATTATATTAATTTTTTATTTGTTTTCATTTTTTTTATTTACTCTGTTTCGCAATTTTCAAACTTTCAAGCTATCATATCTAGTATTTGCATTTTTTTATTTGTTTAATTTATTTTTGTTAATACAATGGCAACTAACGACGTAACAGTAACTACGCCAATAATTTCCGCTACCACCTCTAATAATTATATTAATTGTGACAATGCTATCAAGCTTATAAATGTTTTTGATGGGTCTTCTTCAAAATTACATTATTTTATAGATTCTGTTGATTTTATTTTTGCAAAATTTGACCCAGCGGAATTGCAAATTTTTCCTTTTATTGTAAAAAACAGGTTAGAGGAAAAACCTCTTGATTTCATTGGCTCGAAAGAATTTTCGACATGGCACGAAATAAAAAATGCTCTCCTTTCTCAGTTTGGTGAAAATTTGGATTTGCAGTGTCTAAATTTTGAGTTATGTCACTTTAAGCAAAGTTCTAATGAAAAACCTACAAATTTCGTTGATAGAATTAAAAAACAATTAATTAGAATCAATAAAGTTATCAAATACGATTCAAATTTGAACGATGTTGAGAAAAAAAGTTTAAACAATTTTCACAGTAAGACTGCAATTCTGACCGCTATTACGGGCATAAAAGAATCTTTGTGTCAAATGCTTAGCTCTTTAAATCCTAGTTCGTTAATTCAAATTAAGCAAATTTTAAACGATTATGAAAACCAACAATATTTCAAACAAACAAATGACTAAGTTTTCTAAATTAAATATAACTAATGACAATAAAATTTGGTCAAGTACTGCAGGTACTCAAAAACATTTTCTGATCCCGGTTCAACAAATCAATCGATAAATCCACCAATTAAATTCACTATTCCAAAGTGCACTGTTTGCCATAAATATGGACATAAAGCAGAAAAATGTTATCCTAAACCACAATCTCACAATGTTGTTCATAATACCTATTGTGACAATGATAGTTCAGAAAAAGAAATAGAAATCGAAGTTGATCAGGATTTTTTTAGAACAAGTGCCGCTGACAACGTTACAGTTTACCAAGTAGCAGATAAACCACTTCTTTACGCGCATATTAAAAATTTGAATATAAAATTATTAATTGATTCAGGGGCAGCTATATCAATATTGAAACCAGGTAAAATATTAGACTCTTATCACTTTAATCATGAAAATTTTAAAATATTTGGTATTAATAACGAACCAATTCAAGTTACAAAGAGCGTAAATTTTAAGTTATTTTCAGGTGTTCAAAAATTTTATATAGTAGACATAAATTCTCCTTTTGATGGAATACTTGGTTATGATTTGTTAGAAAAGAATAAATGTGTTTTTGACTTTGGTTTGAATACTTTATTTGCTAATCGTGAGGAAATCCCATTGTTTCCATCTGATCAGGAATATAATATACTTAGTGTAAATAATATACAAGAACATCAAATCCGAAGTAATGTTACTTAACTGAAAAAAATCGATACTATTGTAAGTAAACTAAAATTAGAAGCTCTGCCAATTCGATTAAACTATGTCTATCAAAAACAAAATGATTATACCGAATTTGAGAATATTAAAACTAACTTAGATTTAAATCATTTTTCCTACTCTAATGAGCAAATTTTAGACGTTAACAATAAGAATATTTTATATCTATACGATGAAAATGACAGAAATGTAAATCATTTCGAAATAACCAATGATAATTTTCCCACTGTTGGTGACTCAGATTTTGAAACAATATTAAAGTTATATAACGAAAATCGTAGTAGAAAAATTACTATAGTTAAAATTAAGCCACACCATTGCCTTGAGAATTTAATACTTTGAAAAAACTAGTATTAGGTCGAAATAAAACTTATTGCATACCTTATTTTGAAAGTAATATTTATTATAAAATGCTCAGTTTCCTTTACCCAGACGTTAACTTTATAATTTGTAAAAATATCGTTACTATGCCGCCTGTAGAAGATAGGCAAAGGATAATTTTCGAATCTCATAACGACCCGGGTAATTATCACAAAGGAATTAATGAAACTGCAGACAAAATTCGACAACTTTATAAATAAAAAAATATGTATAGAGAAATAACCGAATTTATTACTTTATGCCCTACTTGTCAACTCCCAAAATTTGATCGTAGGAATCGTACTCAAGGTTTAAATGTAAGGCATTCTCCGGAGAAACCATTTGAGGCTTTATCTGTAGACCTGTTCTTTTTTGATAAACAAAAAATACTCACCGTTATAGATAATCTAACAAAATTTGCACAAGCGTATATTTTAACTGATAAAAACTCAGAAACGATAATTAGTAAATTAAAAAATTATTTTTCGCTTTTCGGCCTTCCTAAGATGATTATGTCAGATCACGGGGGTGAATTTAATAATAAAAAGGTGCAAAGTTTTATTAATTCATTGAATATCGAATGGCACCTTACTTCGTCTGAGTATCATGCCTCTAACGGTATAATTGAGCGCTTCCATGCTACCATAACAGATACTTTGCGAAGTTATCTTTTAGAACATAACCAGTGCGACTTAGAAGATGCACTTTTAGTCGCTATACATTCATATAATTCTAGTAAACATCATATAACATCCACTACACCCTATAGAATTTGATGAAATTACGTATAATAATCAGTTAGAAAATATAAGGGAAAAACAATGCGATCAAAGGAAAAAGCAAAAGAACCGTTTTGATAACTTAAGAACGAGCAACTTGGAAGTAAAGTATAAAGTTGGAGATAAAATTCTCTTAAAAAGACCAAGAAATCCAACTACACCAAAATCGGTATTAAATACAGGACCATATGTTGTTCTTGAGGGCAATGAAACTAATAAAGCTCTAAAAATTAAGTTAGATAACGAGGTTATTTGAAAATTTCATTTTAATAATGTAAAACCATTTTATGATGCGATTAACTAGACGAAGTTGAAGTGTAACACGGCAAGTAGTAGATATGACCTTTCATTATCCATATTATAAAGGGATTTTAATCAATAATAACATATGATTCGATTACCTTGTGGTACACTTCATCTACGGCCTTCTCATAACAACAAAAGTAGAATAAGTTATTGCCGGTTGGTTTTGTTTTGTTACATGTGGCCCTACCTGCCCTGTGCGGAGTATGTCTAGAGAGGCGCCAAAACTTCGAAGCTGCAAAAGAAGCCCTTCTTGGACACCCCAGCTTCGGTCTTCAGGAGGAAGGTGTTATGGCGAGCACGCCACTGTGTGTGTGTTGTATGTCAATATTCCAGATTCCTTCGGAGATGATAAAGACCCACGCCAGAATCTCTAAGTGTTTACGTTATTATCAAGAACTATGAGAGGTTTTTTTTGATACATTTTGTAGTCCTTAAGTTAGTATAGTTTTATACCCTAAACTGTAAACATCTTAATAAATTTGTGCATTTCCTTCAGAGTTTTTCGTTATTTAATTCTCCATCGAACACATCATTTTATAAAGAATAAAAGTCATTTGTAAACTCCAAGGGGCACAAATCTATAATTTATTTTATAGTCACTAATAGAAAAATCCACCCAAAGCAGATTCTAGATATCCGAACTTTAAACTCAGCAGACGCAGGGAGTGAACACAAACTAGTAGTGTACTACCAAAAATAAGAATGAAAATAACACCAAAACATTTTCTACAGGAAATCACAGAGGAAAAATTCAATGTAGAGTCAATGTGGAACGACTCTAATATATCTAATAAGAAATATACCAAAGAAGGCTAGCACAGAAAATACCTCTGAAATAAATAGAGGACATCGAAGATATAAACGCGAGCTGGGAGAATATTAAAAACAACATTGAAGAAGCAGCAACAGAAGCTGTAGGAAAACGCAAAGTCGTACTGAACAAAAGAAACAACAATAATACACCATGGTTCAGAAAAGAAATAAATGTAAAGAGAAACGAGAAGGCTACACGAAGTACAAAACATCAAATTCTCCAGAATCCCGAGACACCTATAGAGGAATACGAAATGAAACACAGCAGTTGGTA